GAATTTATTTTATACAACCAGTTTTCCTATACCTTACTCAAAATAGACAGGGTTAACTTCTCAGGGTTGAAAGTTACCAAGCACCTTCGACAAACACATATAATTAATGAAACTGAAGCCACCTGTTGGGTTGCTACTCCTTAGAGAAAACAAGAATATAAGGCATAGATTTACAGGAATTTAAGCTATAGCATTGTTTTATTTAATAAAAAAACATTTGCTTGCGAAAGGGAATTGGACGTACCCGACAATGATATATATTCCGAAGATAATCCTAAAGTGGATCAGTGACAATCACAGTTACGATTCATTTCACACATTGGAATTTGTATCTTTACTCCATTTTGATTGATTACACCGATGACTTCAAAGAAATTGACAAATTAGAGTAGGGAATGTTGCAGCCTAGTATTGCTAGCAAGTAGAAAAAACTCCAAATTTTTTATTTTCCTTCCTAGCAACGCCTTACATCATTCTTGTAAAGTCCACATTTTCCCTCGCAAATCTTAATGTCCTTCGTGTGGCTGAACCTGTACAGGAGATGGCCATCAGCCGGAGCATTAAACGAAATGGCGCAGCTGGAGCCCCTACCAGGGCTTTCATCTTTAGCATTGTTTCGATGGTTGCTCTTTTCCGTCCTCGTCCTGCTAGAAGTGTTGCAGAACCCAAAGACGTAACTTTTACACATCGAATAGTAGCACTGATTTCCAGCAGCTGTCAAACGGCGCGCACCGAAAAGTTTGTTGAAATCGGCGTGTGCTTGTTTCAGAGCAGCATGACTGCCTCCCGTCCTCCCACACACCCATTCTTGGGCCTCTGCAGGGCTCGATAGCGCGAAAACCGCTGCAATTGCCACAAGATTGCTTCCAAGCTTCTGAATTCGGGTTAGATACAATATTTGCAGCCTTCGAGGGCATGGTATTTGGGAAGTTTTGAGCTGACCATGATTAATATTGGAACTATCAACGTTCAAAGGACTTGGAAGAAAATGATCCTTGGCGAGGGATTCCGGGTTGATTGATTAAACTATTTTAAGGCAGTCTTGAGGGGAGGCGAGGTTTCGATGGCTTGAGTTTGAACATATTATTTGAGGACATACACTACTTATATATACCAAAACAATAGTCATTTTATTGAACTTATGAAATCGTATTGTTGCCAATGTGAGATATGTACAACAATACTCCATAAGCATCATACGGATTGCTATCGTCCGAAAGGGTTTCACAAGGATGAATGCCAATACTTCCTTCTTATCTCGCAAAAGGATTCGCTATGAATTCACCTTCTAATGATTCATTCCAATCTCTACTCTTGCATCATGCGAACTAATTCATTCTGAATTCTCGAATTCCAATCCTAAGTAATAAGCCAAGTTGCGAGGTTGACTGCCACGTTGGGATCGATTGGCTGCCAAGGCCGAAAATGGAACGCCTTAGGAGTGCCATCATTTTCATGGCGGGAAATAATGAGTTACTTAGGCAGGAGAGAAGACACCCAAGAGAAAACTATTGATTTAGTTTAGTATTTCCAAGGCTTGATAGAATATTGGTCTTAGGCGACGCGCAACGGCACTCTTAAGTTACATCTCCCGGTTTCCAGTCAGCCTTGGGATTAGCCTCGGAGACTGACGCCAAGAACAGAACATCATATTTCGACCTATAATTACATCAATTCCGAAAACATGAAGACCAAAGCTAACTTGCTCGATCAACGATCCTGACCCCTGCCAAACTGTCCAAGTTCCGCCATTTTTTGCGCTCCTCTTCGGATTCTCCGTCTGGATAACCTGGGAATATGTTTGATTAGTCTGCCGTATATTGGACATCGAAATCCAGTACTTACAAAACCAAGTCTTAGGGTCGACGGGGCAATTATGTCTCGAGCAAATATACTCGATACTCCCATCGTCATTTTTCACTTGGGATACGTTTGAGTCCTTGTCCAGAAGATGTACAAATATTTCTGGTCGTTGATACGTGGCATTTTGTGGTGACATTCCATGTACTGGCGAAGATCTTGATGGCCCGGCTTGGCTAGGCGGCTGAATGATAACTCCTGCCCCAGTTGGCCTTGTTTTTCGAGGAGTCTTTGATGAAGCATTCGGTTTAGGTTCTGATACGAATCCTATGATTGGACCTTGATTGAGAACTATAGGCTTGATAGGTCGTGTTTTAGTGATCTTGTGGTGGGTCTGCGTATTGTTTGGAACTGGCGCCTTTCCGGCAGATCCAGACCCATTGGATGGCTCCAATAGGATACAACGGTAAGCCTTAGGAGAAGGTGTCATGAAGTCGCGCCAGCTACTCAGTGATATGCCTAACTTTCTTCGGATCTTAAAAGCTTTCCAGTGAAGGAGACACGTTGCTAGGAACAGAACAATAATAGGAAAAACTATGCCAGCAACTAGACTAATCAAAATAATCCTGTTGTTTCTATTCTGGGGACCATTTTGTTTAGAAGTTGTTTCAGAGCCCGTTGGCAGTGGTGCGGGTGCAAGTGTTGTTGGTATTACAGCGGGGTAAATTGGGATTGGGATGACTATTCGTAGATATTAGCGCACATGAGAGTGAAGCTATGAGAGATCTTTTACTGGATGGATCGATAGTGGGTCTCTCAATTGCAATAGTTCGATTCGGGAGAACTGTAAACGTGCCAGAGACTGTGATTGTAACAATGGGGATTGGCGAAGTTGACGCTAGTGCGAAGCTAGAAAGGAGAAGAACCCCGAAAACTGAGGTGGTCTTCATGCTGTCTACCTAGGTAAAAATAATTTTGTTCAGATAAGTTGAGTAATTCTAACTCTAGAGTGAGGAAGTACGTTCGTATAAATCGTGTGACTCTCAATACTGGACGCAAGATCCCTCACTTTAACGCCAGGCTGACTGGTCCTGAGAGAATTACAATTGTGTGTCCGGTCACCTTCAGCTGCGCGGGCTCCGGGAGTATCGCCACCGCCATATGGCTGAGCGAGGCAGATGCTACAGCCACGCACTACCACAATATTTGTAGGTCATATTTTGTGTATCAGCTAGCAACCTCACTGGCTCGGTAGGCTCAGCTATACGAACGGCTCGCTTATCTCGCTTGTGCTGGTCGCTGATTCGCTGCGACACAAAAACGAGTGGCTGTGCTTACAGAGGATAAGCGAGTCTCAGGCGTCTTTTGTTACGATATTCATTGTGCAGGCTGCATTCAGGTATTTATCTCTTCAAAGGTTGTCAAATTTATCAAACTCCAAGGTTGACTCCTTGCATTCCAAGCTTTAGATGAGAAAATTCAACCTCGTCCGGTCCGACATACCGGGCCCGTCTACTAAATGTAGGCATGATACAAGATATAAATCTTCTCCATCAGTCCTACTACTGGTCATTGCATGTCATTTCACTTCCCCCAACACAATATAATCGTAGGCTTATTTCGCCCAAATCATGCTTTTCCTTGAAAGATCACTACCCTTATTCTTGGGAACCTTGTGGGGTCGATCTCTAAGTAGTGTAGAGGATTGGTCCAATGTAGGCAACACTGACATCGTCCAAAGGCTATCACCCTGCGCGCAGAAGTGTGTGCGAGAAGCCAACACAAAGATAGCAATGCCTGGCACGCACTGCCAGAGTTATGGTTGTGTATGTGCAGAGAACACCCAAGGCCTTAACTTTCTGTATGGGCTATCCAATGTGACGGCCTGCGCCCAGCAAACATGTCCATCAAGCGAAGACGTAGATGCGGCCAGCACAGCATTTCAAGATCTATGTCTTGTATATGCCGCGAACTCAACACGTCCAGCAACACGATCGGGTAAGCATATAATAGTAAAACACAAAGCAATGACTGACACTAATACTTAGGGAACAAAATTCTGATAATAACTTCCGCAGGCTACTCGAACCTGACAGACTGCGCCAAGTTTTCTCTTAACGGATGTTTGAACGAAGACGGCATCAGAAACGAGCAAAATTGTGGGCCGATCCGCAAATGGACTCGCTGGGAGGAATACCAAGGAGTAGCAGCTCAGCGACAATGCAAAACCGCAGAGTGCCTTTGTAAACAGCCAAAGTTTGATGCGACTTTCGCCGTGGCATATGAAGCGGGAGAAAGGTTTTGTGGAATGTCGATCAGCACAAAGGCACTGCCCATTGAAGAATATGAGCGGATGCAAAATGTTCTAGCCACATATTGTGCTGCCGAAGGATATCCGCCGAAAGACTGGTTCCTCGCAATCCGTGGAGCACCGCCTGGGACAAATTTGACGAATTCTAATCCACCAATGCAAGCGAACACGACCAGTTCTATTAAACCGGAGGGCGGAAAAGGTGAGCGCAGTTATTACATTCAAGTTACTCATAGCTAATAGTTTAGGACTTTCAATTGACAACAAGATTCAACTAGGCCTCGGCGCTGGCATAGGACTCCCTGCGCTAGCAGCTGCTCTATTTGCAGCCTGGGTATCTTGGAATCAGTTAGCGCTGGCTGAAAGAGCTGAATCGAGGGCTGAATCAAATGAAGCTTCAAGTAGGAGCTCTAGTGCAACCTGAACTCGTTGATATAGGATTTCTCGGCGTTCAAATTTTGGAAAGCAAATGCTAGTTATTATGAAAACATTCGGATTCAGAAATGGATAGATATTTTATATAAAGGAGCACTCACTGCGCTATTCTCAACACCGATTCAGTAAAGGATCATACACTATTATATACGATATCATTCTAATGACATGCGAATGCTTACATTTTCATCTACGTTTTGTTACTTTCCGAGAGAAAATTTTGCAGGATCTGCGAGTAGTGCCTGAAGTGGAGCAGTCTTGCATGGATCCCACTATATTTCCCCACATGAAAATTTTGTGGCAGTGTGACTGCTATGAACTACCTCAGTTATGTCTTACGGATGTTCCCTACGATAGAGTTCAAACGATCATGCTTTCAAATGTATAAGAATATAATGCAGCTGTGGTGCAATCCTTCCATCTGAAGTCACAACAGACTTGAATTCATAACTCAGCATCGGTGGTTTAGTGGTAAAATTAGCCGTTGCCATTCATTGAACATTCGGCTAGCCCCGGGTTCGATTCCCGGCCGATGCAAGTAGTGATTGTCATGGCTTCTTTTTTGCTGATGGAGTTGTTGTCATGGCAGTGAAAGGCTCAAGGGATCGGCTGAACACTGGACGTTTGGATAACAATCTACACCGGCGAATTACACCCAAGCATGGAACCAATCTTCTTGGAAGTTCACAAGCAAGTTATCTCTAATAGGTTCTTGTGTACGTGCAAAATAATTTTTGTTACTTTGCTGAAGTAGTTATCGTGGGATTGACTAGGGACATGTCTCGCGTAATTTTTGTTCCGTGTGGGTGCCGAGGCACGCAAGACGCCACAGACTAAATTAACTATCCACATTCCACTATTCGTTCAATTCTGTGTAGCCGACACAAGTTCAGAAAATGAGTGCTGAAGCTTGGTCAACTGCATTGAAATGTCAAATGGGAAATAATTGCGCTAGCAGGTTCCAGACCCTCTCCGGCCGAAATTGTCTCTGATCCACGCCCTCGGTTCTCTTGTGCTTCCGAAGTTGTAGGTGACGATAATTGACAGATCTTGGGTGATCTCGATGTAGGTGTTCATGCATTGCTGAATAGTAGATAGTTAATTATTGCGCACAACTCATCAGTTCCAGACTGAACTAATCAACTGAGGACTTTTCTCCTTCTCTCGCCTTCTTCGAGTTACAATGCTGTGTCTTGGGGCACTAACTTATGGTTAACAATGGTGACCGAACCAAATTAGACCCTGCTAGTAGATTCGCGGTTACAAGAACAGCACTTAAGCATTCATGATTTTTGGTGTCAACACCCCTGGTGCGTGAGTGTTTAGCTTCGTGATACAGGAAGCCTTTTGTCATAGGTTGGAGAATAAATCATCAAATGCAATGTGAGAAACTGAGCTGACCGTTAAATGACGATAAGCGCGACTTCCCAACATGTTTAACTAGGTACTTTGGTTCGCATCTGTCATGCAAAAGCTTCCTCGTTGTGAACGCCTTCCTTCCTTTGCTAAAAAAAGGTGCAGCACCAACAAGACTTCAAACGAATCACTTTTATAACAACACCAGGCTGAATTAAGAGACATAGCTGAATATCATTTAGTTTAAGTCGAAAAAATTATATCCGCCTATTTCAGTATAAGAATACTAAAACTCCAGATTTCCCCAATTCAGATATATGTAGTCTGCCTTACGAATGTAGAGCCAGACTGAGATAAAAGGTTACCTAGGCAATGAATAAATCAATCCATCGCTTTAGGATCTCTCACGTCAGCCCCCTCAAAATTGTGATATGATACGATATCTTATTGCTTAGCCACTTAATGACTCTTCTCCATGATGCAGTGGTTACCGAGAAAAACGAGGTATGTGAGATGCCTTGATGACCTCAAGGTTGCTACATGCTTATACTGGAGTCTGAGCCGTCGATCAATTGCAGACATTTGCGTCCTCATCCCGAGTCGGCAATCTATTGTTTTCCAGTAATTGGATGGATGAATAGACGTGAATTCTGGTCCCGAGAGTGCCTGGGCAAAATTTTACCAATAACTAGATGTACAGGATGATAACTCGTCTTGGTCTAAAAGGGAGGCATTTTTCATTTTGAATTGTGCATTGCCAGAAGCAGGAAACATCTTCCATTCGAAGCAATAGCTAAGACGCTTGAAAACCTAGCCTTCGCACCAGCCTCACACCTATCCAACTGTATAGCATTGAGTTGGGAAGCGAACAGATAGCGACTTTCCATTACAGACCCAAGCTTCGTGGGAAACTACGTCCTTGAGAGATTTCCTACAAGCCCACTAGTTATCAACTCTCTCTTGGCATCTGCGTATTTCTCGCATTCAACTCGAGAATCTCACCAGGTCATGTTTGCCAGGAGTACGAACGTATTGATTTCGTGTCACTCTTTTAATTAATTGACAGCTTAAATGTAAGATTTAAGGCTACAGCAGCTTGGCTGACTCTGGGCAGTGTGCACAGTGGGTATAAAGCTCAGTATGATCCTCGAATTGGAGTTTCTAGCTATCCACTAGCTTTCTTACAAAACTGTTTTGGACCAACGTAAAGTACATCTACACTGATCTTTCAATATGAAGTTCATCAATATCACTGTTGCTGCTCTATTGCCCTTTGTGGCTATTTCATCTCCCGTCCCTGAAGAGAACGGGCTGATCTTCGACCAAAAAGAGCACACTAGCATCGTTAAGAGAGATGTCACTGGCACTGTGGATGCAGATGCCCTCAAATACCGTCGCTGCCCCCGAACCGGTTGCGACGCTGTTGGGCAGTACTCTCGGGGAACCCGCATTACCATTAAATGCTACACTGATCAGAACACAACACCTGTTAATAACTATAAGTAAGATCATGACCCACTTTAGCTTTTTCTTACTAATCCGTTACCGTTAGGCCCTGGGGAAAGCTTAGTAACAATTACTGGGTTTCGCTTTACTATGTCAACTGGTCCGGTACGTAGGCCATCACTCCTAGCCATTATCTTAGTTAATTGCCTTTGACTAACACGATGAGACAGGCAGTATTCAGCCCTGCTGATAGATTCAAATTATTTGACGATGAATCCGGTGATGAACCGGGAATGGTGGCTATGGAATGCAGGGAGCCACAGTTTACTAGCTAGAAATGAGATTCAACATCTCCTTTCATCAACTTGAAGACTCGTTAATCATGCCCTCATTAGTTTGTAGTTGCGTGTTAGCACGAATTGATATGTGCAAAGATCAATTATTACTTTGTTTGAAGAAACTATTGCCTACTTTCAGGAGTTTTATTAGTTAAAACTTGTATGATTCTCTCTTCAAACAACACTATTATCGAAGCATTGTGATTTCATGGTTGGTTTTTGCAATGGTAGGTCTGACGAGTACATGCAAATCCAACGATAGGTGAGTAGACTGTCACTCTGGGGTCGTTTCGCCCCCAAAAATGATGCATAGGCGCTTAATAGTGTATCTCTGCTCAGCCTCATCGAGCTGAGAATAGATCACAACACTTCTTAAAATCCAGCAGCTTCTCTACTCGTTTGATGTGCAATTTTTTATTTTTACGGTCCAACTTCGTGAATACCCGTCATTTCAACCATATTCATACTTATAGCTAATTCTCGATCATTCTTGATTCTTCACAATGGTGCTCCCAAGGTTTACCGCCAACGAGGCTGAAAGGGTGGCGTCGAACACACATTGGCGCCACTCAGCCCAAATGCAGTTTCTAACCAATCACTTATATGTTATGTTTCACATCTCAAAAGCAAAGCTCTGGAAATCGGAAAATATGACTTGGCGCCGGTATATTAAGAGCAATTTGCCGCTCAAAAATTATAGTTTTCTAATTCTCGCAAAGAAGTGATAACTTATAGTACTATCTATATTGCGTTATATATTGGTAAGCAGTAAATATCTCGACAAACCCAACATATTGCCTTTTATGCCCTACTTACTATCTTTAGCCTTTCACGAAACAACAAGTTTATTACATGGCGGAATCTCAAGTACCTGGGAACACCACCTTGGCCTCCGACCTCTATGGAGATGGTGTTCGAATCGGAATATACCTACAAGTTCTCGGAATGCTTCTTTGCTGCATTCGCCACAAACAGTCAGGCATCAAGCTAGCGTCGTCCTCAACAATCCTCGCCCTCCTGGCAGCCTGGTCTGTCCGAATTAGCAAAGAGGATCTGAGCCCTGTTGAAGCATGGATTGTTCTGGCCATCATTGGGCTCATCTGGGTTCCTACCATTGCCGCCTTAGTTGCTCCAACAAACATGGTAGGAGAAGGTGTGGCTACAACTGCACTCGCTGTGGCACTTATATGGCACACATTTGCTATGATAGCATTTTGGTCGACTCTGTTTAAAAGCTTACCACAGCTTGGAACTCAGAATATGATGTTCTTCTTGGGGAGGGTAAACATTAAAGGACGTGTGTCAGAGTTCATGGTCGCAGTGGGTGGAGGTCAAATATTCATATTGGCGCCCAGCCTTATCATCTTTTTGATAATGATTAGAAGAGGTACGAAGGCGTGGTTGAGGGGTGAGAAGGAACTTGATATAGAAAGTTTGCACCAAGAGAAAAGATGGATGAAGAAGTCTCAACAGCGAGTGGTTGCTTACCTCGGTGTGCTCGGGCTCTTGGGATGGACTGTTGGAATTATCGCTGTTGAGCTCATGATACGCTGGAATGGCCTTGTTCCGGTCAAGGATCTATCACAGCCGGGACAACTTGTGCCGTTTGTAACTGGTATAATTATCTGTACTGATGCGTTTGTTGGATTACTTCAACCACCTTGGAATGTTAGAGGGAGTCGCGGAGAATGATTAAGGGACCTAGTAACGACGAATAAGGAGACGGATGCGTGAGATTTCTGAGCTTAGTACTGATTGACAGAAATGCACCTAGCAAAAGCTAGAATATGTTATGTATCTTAGCTCGACCAAGTCCCAGCCAATTTCTATAGCCGTTAGTTATCTGGTTGGAAAGTGAGTAATGTGCGATAAGATACATGTTCTGAAGGGCGAAAAGAAAACTTAATGACCGCTTCCGTACGACAGTTCGTGCGGTCCCTAAAATCCGAGAGATAGAACGGCGTAAGACTAACAAGGCCAGAAATTGTCTCTGACGCGACGTAGGTACTAGAATATGAAAAAGTGGATAGGTAGACGAGCCCACAGAAACACCCATAGAAGAATCAACCAAGTTACAATCATACGGGGCGGATATCGCATCCCGTAAGTTCCCAAAAAAAGTTAGAAATACTATCTTCAACGGATCTGGCATGCAAGCCCGATATTCAACCAAAGGAGCGATGTGATCCCTGTAACTTCATGTGAGGATCGGAACAATGTAAATCGAGTGCAGATTTCTCTGTGGAATGAGAGGAGCAGATGTCAATGTGTGAATTCCCAGCTAGAATGTGCCAATAACACAGTTGCATAGTATTCTGGACATAGGATTACTTCCTATCTTCTCCTTCATGTGCTCGAGGACGCCCATTGTCTGGATGAGAAGTCGTACGATTCTGG